TCTCTTCTTGAATAAAGAGAAGACCCAAATATGACCCCTGAGTCCCAAATCCTATTCAATCCCCTTCACCAACAGGTTCCCATCGTACCTTTAAAACCCAGGCAGATGCTCTAGGAGTTTAATTTCCCTAATTCCCCATTTGCTCAACTCATAATGCCCTAGTAGTTTCCACCACTGCTTCCAAACACAGGGCCAGTGAAGTGGGACAGGACTGTGAAGAGAGTAATTATAAATGAGGTATTTAGGAAACTGATCCAATCAAACTTCATTCAACAACCTCTCAGCTCAGGAGATACCTGGAGCCAATGAACAGAAGAAAATGAGCTCCTCTGCTGCTTTGATCCCAGTTTTACTCTGCAGAAGCCATCTAACTTGAGTTAGCATTGCTCATGAAGACTTTCTGCAAAAGGTTCATTTTTTTCACTACTTTTGTGCAAGGACATACACAGAATCGTAATGTCACCAAAAAGTAAGCACACCTGAATTGAGTTTCATCACCATTTTTTTCTCCTATTTCAAAGAGAAGATTGACTTCTTTGAAATGAACAAAAACACACTACATTGTAAACATGAACAGTGAACAAGCATCACCAGAATGGTACTGTTGTGACATTCAGAATGTCAGCAAATTAAAAATCTTCCACAGAGTAATTGCATTGGTAAAGAGACTGTGTAACGTTTTGCCTGGAAATTACATCCTCTTGCAACTTAACACATTAACCAAGACAAGATAAATGATTCTTGGTCTAGCTTCTGGTGGCAAATGGGGAGTGACATGGGAGCAAAAGAGGAGTTGATTACAGAACTTGAAAGATAAAAGGCAGAAAAGCAAGACAACAAGAAACAGATGTGAAACATTTCATCAGATATTCAAAACTAGTACCTCTTGATCAACTTGAATTCAATCTAATCACCTACTTCAGTGCAATTATAGCATAGTTTATATTATGTGCTGGTTAAAGAAATTCCTGTGGGAGATGATCCCTTCTCTGTGACCACAGGATATTTTACTAGGAGATGCTAGTAATGTTCTTCATTAATGGTAATGGCTACAATACAGTGAAGGAGAGGGATTACATATGAGGTATCACATTCTATGCATTCCTACACAATGTGGGAATAGCCAGATGAGCCCTGGAAGAGGAAAACTTCACTAGCTGTGACAAAGGGACCTTCTGAGAATGGGAGGACTGAAGCACTATGAAGAAGCAACCAGTAACAGCATGTCTATGGCTGCAAAGGTAAGGCAGAGGCATCTGTACTCTGGTTAACCTCCATACAACCACGTTTGGCACAAACACTTGTTAACCAAGAACAATGAATTTTTACTTTTCACTGTACCTATGCCAGTAAATGTAATTATTCAAATGCCTGCAGGAAGCAAATGCCCAGCAGGCATATGCATGCTCTAATGTAATTCTCTATCAAGTTTTGAAAAGCAGCCAAAGAACCACAAAAAAGTCTTGACTCTATACACAGTTTTCTAAATTTTCTAATATATAAATAGTTCCACTTGCCTCTACTCATGAATATTTTCATATGGTATTCTCTGAAATAGAAGAGAGTTGTAGAGTACATCTTTCATTTTTCTGGATCTCTCCAGACCTACAGAGCTCCTCTATCTCTCTCACACAGTACTAGTTCTACATATCACTATTGTGGGTTTGCATTTTTTAAACTGAAAATGTTTAACAGTCTGTTTCTAACTTGAGTATGGTTTTAACTTAATAGCTGTGATGGAATTTTATTGTCCTGCATTCTTGCATGCCCAAAGTGCCCAAGCTAGTGTCACATGGACAAAACTTGAAATGCCCAGTTTACACATGACCTTTGACTGTGACGATTAACTGGATGGCTGCCTGTAAACTCTTGTCATAAATTTTCATTCCACACATTTAAAAATGATAGGAACATGAGGTGGACTTCATAGTGTCTCTGCAAAGGGCCTAAAACGATCTGTTATAATTTCAGAATATGGTAGATTCTTATTTCCCTACCCAAGTACCAGCACAGATGATGGATTGATGGAGTTACTACTATAAATACCCACTTCAAAATATTATTTATTTCTGTTGTCAAAACTGGTGCCAAGCTTTGAAATAGGATGGAAGGTTAAATACTAAATGTACCTTAATTCTAGCTACTACTTTCACTTCCTTCAATAGATGGTATTACAACATTTTAAAATTCAATTGTGCTGGCTATTCCTTCATGATGTATACCTTAAAATACAGAAAATTTCATGACCTGGTCATTCAAAGCAAGAATGAAGATGTGAAATTATTTGCCTCTTGTTTATCTCACTGGTACTTCCAAACTGGAGAGCAGAACTGAATAGCCAATTTATTTCTCATTCAGACTGAGCCAAGAGGTACACAAAATGTGGAAGCCAGCAGTAGAGTTGAAACAGTAGCCTGGAGTTCCTGACTTTTTGAAATGCCTTTTATTTTTAAATGTTTAACAAAAATTTATATTCTCATTTAGTTTCTATGCTTACAATTACACTTTTCAGACGCAATATACCTAAAAATAAAAATAATTTCATGTTTTGTATTTACCCATGTATATACATGCTGTGAAAATAAAAATAGTTCTTGTGTGTGATTCAAACCTGGGATTCCCCAAATAGTTGGCCTTTCATGGAAGTCCCAGCAGAACACAAAAACGCAGAACACGAGAAAGCAGAACACAAAAGCAAGACTCAGTCTTCAAAGCTCAAAGTTTCTGAGCATGTCTCAGTGCCCAGATGGAGACGTGACAAGCAGTGCTCCTCAGGGGTCCATACTGGCACCACCCCTGTGTGATGTCTCCAGCAGTGACACAGGCAGTGACACTGAGTACAGCCTCAGAACGTCGGCTGACAACAGCAAACTGAGTGCTGCGGCTGGCACACCTGAGGGGTGGGTCACACCCAGAGGGACCTGGACAAGCTTGAGGACTGGTTCCATGGAAACCTCATGAGGTCCTGCACCTGGACAGCTCCCAGCATCCATACAGGCTGGAAATGAGCAGATTCAGAGCAGCCCTGCTGAGAAGGAATTGGGGGTGCTGGTGGATGAGAGGCTGGACATGAGCCAGCAATGTGCCTTCGCAGTCCAGAAAAACAAACACATCCCACACTGCATCCAAAGCAGCGTGGCCAGAAGGGTGAGGGAGGGGATTCTGCCCCTCTACTCCACTCTGGTGAGAGCCCACCTGGAGTGCTGCATACAGTTTTGGGGTCCTCAGCACAGGAAGGACATGGACCTGTTAGAGCAGGTCTAGAGGAGGGCCACAGAAATCATCAGAGGGCTGGAGCATCTCTCCTACAAAGACAGGCTGACAGCATTGAGGTTGTTCAGCTCAGAGAAAGAAGACTCTGGTGAAATCTCAGCATAGCCTTTTAGTAATGAAAGGGGGATTAAAAGAAAGATGGGGACAGACATTTTAGTAGGGTCTGTTGCAACAGGAAAAGGGGCAATGGTTTTAGAACAAAAGAGGGTAGATTTAGAGTAGGTGTCAAAAAGCTATTTTTCAGTGAAGGTGGCGATACACTGGAACAGGTTGCCCAGATAGGTGGTAGATGCCTGATCCCTGAAAACATTTAAGGCCAGGCTGGATGGGACTCTGAGCAACCTCACCTAGTGGAAGACGTCCCCACTTACTGCAGGAGGTAGGACTAGATGACCTTTAAGGTCCTTTCCAAACTAAGCTATTCTATGAATGTGTACAGTCAATTGTCTTGGATGGTATTACCACACATCCTTATGGTAGCACCTCCATATGTGTATCTTCATCTCCCACAGAAACAGCCACTGGCAGTCCACACTGGCAGGAATTACTGCAATGGATAATTGCAGTAATTATCTTACCCTTAGGGCTCCAGTTCCTCCTATCAACATCCTATAAAATTGTTTTCCTGTTGGTAAAACTTTTCTTGAGGAACTGATGAGGCTGGAAGAAGTTGATGAGATCCATCTCACTACAAACTGATGCCTTGCTATATGTGTGAAGTTGGACTTTGTTGGTTTTGGCAGGAGTTTTCTGCAGATCCTAAAGAACAGATGAATACAAAAGCCTGTCTCTTTCACATTTGTTCTTTTGAACTTCATTGTTTTCATAGACTGAACAATTTTTTTTCTGCTTAACTTAGACTCATTAAAAAATTGCTCCTGTGGTATCACTGTGTATATGCTACCACATAGCACCTCTGATCAGAGTCAAAGGTGAGAACTAAGTGATCTGTTTTATTCCTTATGCAAGTATACAACTGCAAAGAAACAGGAAAGCCAGAATTGCAGATGATTGCACAGCAGCTATCTCTGCTATGCTTGATATGCAGCTTACAGGAAACAACAGAAACTTTACCATTATTCAGGCTTAGCTCTCTTCCACAGTAACCTAAGTACAGGTCTACCACATGCACATATCCTGCACCAGGATTCTGATAGCTGAGCTTCTCCTTTCCATTTGATCTTCTGTTTCTGAGGAGTTCAATGTTTTATGCTGAAAATTAACTTGTTTTCTAGGAAATAAGCAACATTCTCTTTAGGAAAACTTGGGTAGGACTCATATTATTTAACATAAATGTCTTCACTGTCTATCTAAACTAGTGACAGTTGGCTTCCTTCACAGACATCGTTATACAGAGGGGAAAAAAAAAATCAGTTCTGTGGTAAGATCTACCTGACCTATATAGATATTTAATTCTGGATATCAGGAAATGTAAGAAAAGCATTTTTCTCTCAACTGATTATCAAGACATTATGGCATGAATATGTCTGATTTAGATTATCTACCCTGTAGACATCTGCCCTTGATCATATGATCCCACCCCCAGGTGGCCCAAATTGGACACAGCAGACAAACAACTTCACTCATCATTTTTACATAATGACTGTGGTTAAGCAAAACTGAAATAGAAGACAGTATCTGTGGAATAAAAAAATTCAGTGTTTACTGCTGTGATATGAAATCAGTGGCTTAACAATCTAAACAGAGAGAGCTTATCAAACCCTTACCTTTGGGGATAGTAATCTGACAGCCCAGGTCACAGTCCTGCTGCAACTGATAAAAAGCCACTTCCTGCAGCCGAGCACGCTCCAGCTCTGAGAGGCTCTGAACGGGAACTGACTTCAGCCGAACACTGCGCCCTGACATGCTGTTCCAAGTGAAATCACCCTACAGGAAATCAAATGGAAAAATATGAAGCATCATATGGTATGCACAGTTTAATAAACAGAACCATCTCTTTTACTGCTAGGAAAAGCAACACAGGTTTTTCTCACCAGAAGACCATTTTCTTGGACATATCTAACCTTTGAAATATCTTTATTTTCCCTAGAACAGCATTCCTTAAAAGGGATACAGACATGCAAAACAAGAAGTCAATTCTGTCTGAAGCCATTTAATCAAGTATTGTTGCAAAAACATTAGCATTCCAGTAACAAAAAGCACAAAGCAGGGAAGGGGGGGGAAAAAACATGCCCATGTCTGCTTTTCCCAGTTTGCTTTCTCTGTACAGTACTTGATTGTCACTTAATTCTTCTCCTGCACCATTGGTCAGAGCAGCAGACCTCAAAAGGTCCATGGACAACATGCATCTTATCTCCCAGCTCTTGCTAATCTGACTCCAGCAGACTCAGAGTGCACTGGCAGAGCCCCTTTTCCAACACAACTCATCTCCTCCTCATGATGAGGCTGTGTTTAGAATACAATTGACTGAAGGACAAGATACTCCATGTTTTTGAAGAGCTGCAATAACAACCTGTTTGTTAACATTTATGGAGGAAAACAGTATGAGATATGCTACATCTCTGTAAGGTACCAATTACGCTTGGAAAGCAAACCAAAAGCTTTAGCTGTTGTATATGCCACCTGTGAGAAGTCATACAAAAAATTGTTCTCCTGGCATTCAGCTTGGGCCAGAGAAGTAATCATCGCTCCAAAAGAAGAGCAAGCACGAAGACAAGCTTAAAGCCTGACAATTAACTTAAAGCAAGACTTTCAGAATTCATCAAAGCATTATCAAAGAGAACAGATTAGTACAGGGAGTGAAAGAAGAATTTGTTTTTCATTCTAACCATGTTAACAAATAAACATCAATCTTGTCAGTAAGTACAACCTGATGCAGCTGCTGATAATGAAAAAACTCTGATGCACATCAGCTGGGCTGTAAGAAAGCCACCAACCTGCCTTTTATCACAGCACGGCAGACTTACAATTAATAAACTTCACTCTCATTTTCAGTTTAAATTTTAACATCTGTGCCTTCACTGCATACTAATTTTTCCCACTGTAAACTTATGATTCATCTGTTCTGAACATTCATCTGTAGTTAAAGGATTCCCAATGACTTTAGAAATTATTGGCTGAAGCTCCTTAATATAAAAATCAGTAAAATTTGACTTTACTTAGCAGTTATGCATCTTGCTGTATGTAAACATCTTTGTGCATATTTCCATATATTTTGCCCACACATGTATATTTATATACACACATACAACCTGTACATACATTTGTATTTAAACATATATATGTATGCATACCTATGACTGTGTGAGTATATTCACATAGAGATATGAGACAAAAGCCATTAACAAATGTGCAGCACCATTTAGCAATACAGATTAAAGGAATTACTTGCGATTCATGAAGTATGTCTGGGTTCAGCAAGGAATTTTTATTTTTTGCCAGAGTAGTTTTTATAAGTCATTAGGCAATCTTCATAGATTACCTATAGTGTAATTACCTCACACAATTAGCATTACCTCAGTGTCAACAACTGGACCTCTATATATTTAATGCATGTATCATTGTTCTATGATCAATGTCTTTATAGTATTTATATGCACATAGGCCACACATGCTAAACTTCTGCATGTTACCCCAGTATTCGACTACTGCAATTTGTTAATTCATTTTTTTGCCTCTTCATCTCTTCTTGTTCTTCTGGTGCCTTACCAGAAGGCATCTAAATCTGACTAACCAGATTTAGTAATCTCAAACTAAAGGTTTGCATAGTGTCACAAGTCAAGTTATGTAGCTTAACTCAAAACCAAACCAGCAAGTCACATAAACCTTATTTGCAAAACTGCAAGTAAACATTTACATTTTTAAAAAAGCTATTGTCATTTATAGATAAATGCCATCAAGAACAGCATCCACAGTCAGACAATGTATACAAGAAAACTAATTCCTTTCCAACCCTGATAATGCAAAAGAAACTTTACAAGCACAGAAGTATGCCATTCAATCGAGTTTAGGGGTATTTTATCTTAGCTATTTCTCCATCATGAGCATTTTCATAAACAAAAATATCACTGATATGTCTACCATAAAAAATTTGAAATCCTAACCCTTAATACTACAACAGTAATGTGAAGCAAAAATTAGAAAATTTTAAGGTAACAGAATATATGTCCTGCTTCCTGTAGACCACAAAAAACAAGTGAAGCATGAGACTTTTAGGAATTACCACAAATTAGGCAGAAGTTCCTCTGGGAGCAACTCCTCATCCTCAGCCTTATCTCTGAGGTGGTTCTGGAAGTGCAAGCAGTGAGCTGTTGTCCTGCAAAGCCCAACTCCAACATCAGCCCTGCTAAAGCAGGTGATCTCAGAGACAGGGCTTGCAAGCTGTGGTACAGCCCACACTGAGGTTCTGCTCTGGGGACTCCAGCAAAGCTCTGCACAGAGCTGGGCTGCTTGGTATGAGCAGAGCACCCAACTCAGCACTGCCTAGGCATGGAATGTCCCACCCTTCCACCCATGCAAGTGGCACGATCACAATCCCTGGAAGTATTTAAAAGATGTGCAGAGGTGGCTCGTAGGGATATGGTTTATGGTTTAGTGGTGGACTTGGCAGTGCTGGGTGTTGGACTTGATGATCTTAGTCTTTTCGGGCCTAAATGATTCTATGTTATATTTTTGTTGTAGAAATTAAATTATTTGAAACCAACACAAAGGTAAAAGCACCAAACAAGATTATGAGACTTGTTCCTTTCAACCAGAATTTTATTCTTCCCGTTTGCAAGGTCCCCATGTGTTCCTGGTGCTCACTGTAGCTAAAAACAGTCATTTTCAACATCTGCACCTTGCAGTGCCACAACAGGTTGCTGAGATTAAAGAATGTGCAATCACTCTGCCCAATTGCTGTGCACTAAAGAAGACATTGCTTTTCAACACTTGATGGGTTTGATAAAATCTCTGCTAGGTCACATTAACATAGGTTTTTATTATGTTAATGGAACACATGACTAATAAACTAAATATTTTTGGAAAACCATGTGGTAGGTAGGGCCAATGAAATCTCCTAATCTTTAAAGGTTCAAGAAACGTTTCCTTGAAAAATTCACTGCTCCATTTTGCAAATATATATCACATATATCACTGTCTTCTATGAGTCAAAACACAGTATTTGAGAATTTAATCTATTCAAATACTCCTATGTTTTACAAAACACAAGATAAATTAAAGGCCTCATCTTCCTCCCAAAGCACTGCACAGTTATACAAACAGCCTGTAAATTATTGCAAAATCATCTAGGCTTGGGAGAGGTCCAGAAAAGTCAAGCTCCCTTGAAGAATGGGTGCTGGTGTAATTACATCTGCCTGAAGCTATTCTGCAGCTGTGGGGCAACCAAAGGAGGAAAAGCACAGACAGGAAGAATATTTTCTGTTTCTCCATATGAGAGGCAACACTTCACCAGCCTAATTCAACATCGGCCTGACCTAGGTGGAAGTTTACAAGGAGCAGAAGATCTTTAAGCAACAAGTCAGAATGATGTGTTTGTTTTCTGAAGTTCACACCTGTATGTGTTCAGACACAGTACACAGGTTGCTCTCTGTTATTTAGATTATAGGACTGTAGGTCTGAATATGCTCTGCAAATGACTCCATCAGAAAAAAAAGCAGAAAAAAAAGGCAACACACAAACAGAAGAGTGTAAACAGAAATACTGTTCTGGGATAAAGTGTTCAGCCTGACAGCACATAAACTGATAACTGCACAGCTGTTTTCATTGAAGAATTTTATGAAACCATAACCTAGACTAAAAGCCTTCTCTGGTTTCTTCCACAAACCAGTCATGTATTTTTCCTCTCAAGTCTGCAACTTCAGCTGCATTTTCTCTCTGGCACTCCCATTACCATCTAACATCTTTCCTCCACTCAACTGAGCAGTTCACTTAGCAGTTACCAGGTAACTACCTAAAATAACAGATGACTCAGCAAAGATGATGATGACTGGAAAACTGTCCCTTTTGCCTCTGAAGAATCTGAATCTGTCCATTTTCCCTGTACTTTTTGTCCACAGTCATAAGCCAAATCGTAAGCACATTTTTAATAAGATGCAGACTGCAGCTTTTCTGATATTCTTTCAAATATTTTTCTAATAGGTTGGATGTTTGGTAGCTCCAAAATAAACATTAAGTGGTACATCCTGACTTAAGTAACTCTGCACTTAAATTACTCTTAAGCATGTCTAAGCTATTCTTGTGTGGCTGATCTCTTTCCCCGAAGCCTCCAACAGGAAATCTTGCTGATGTCCTTTAGAAAAACCTCATTCTTCTGTCTTTCATACAATACAGAAACTGGTTGAAAACTGCATGGAATGCTGAATGTAGATGCAAATCTATGAGCAGTGATAAACCTTGACTTCTGTGGAGTTTCAAGCCTAAATGAGTTATGTGGATGGTGCACAGGTTGGGAAATAAGAACCTTCACACATCACAGTTTTATAAAAAAGAATTTAATGCAAGATGGAGAGTGCAATTTTTATATCTTACTGCTGTTGTAATGACTTTGGTCTGCACTGATTTAGGTGAGCACCATTATTTGTCCACTTTTCATTAGTCTTTTGCTCAAATCCATTTGAAACCACTAAGATCAAAACCAATTATGTCTACTTTTTTCTATCCCAGAAAGATTTAGCTATATGTTTTAGGTAGGTGTCCACTGTAAAAGTACTCAGCCGTTTTGCACAAAGATTATATTGCAAATAGCATGGCAAATATAGGATTAGAATGTCTTAATTCTGTTTAATTACTTATTTAAGCTTCATGAAACCATGCATTATTGCCACTTTACAACCTTTTGCTTCCCCTGGTCTTTTATTTCAACTCTCTCTACAATTATTTCCAGACTCCTCAGGCATAAACTCTCACAATTTGGCTTTTGGTACAGG